ATTTCTTATTATAGTTACATTGTGAGTACTGTGCGTTGTCAATATGTCAGCAAGAAGTATGCGATCGCGAGTTAGGATTTATTTCATTTACATATGAGCATCTGTGCCGATCATTTGACTTCCACCTTCGTACTGCCCATCAATGGAAAGCAATCGGCGAGTACAATGAGATACCGTTATCAAACGTGAATGTCGATTAAGTTCATTTTATTTTATGATTCCATTACACAGACAACATGTAGTCGCTAAGCTCGCAATCATTTGATCTGGAGTTTGAAGCCAATATAACTGCAGGTGGTCCTCTATCAATTACTTGATTTAATCCCTCATGTTATACACCGCTCGAAAGCTATCAGTGAGCACAACGGAACGCTTTCGTCATAAGTATCAATTTCAATGTTGACTTCTACGTTAGATGATTTCAGACAGAGAGATCATAAGCCGCCTCTGAGGTTGAAGAAAGGGCATTCTAGGGTCGTGAAGGACAAGTCTTGACACCCTCTTACCAGGAATAAGGACATAATTCGGCGAGGGAGATAGTACTATGAGCAACTCCTTAACATCAAGCAACCGCAGGAAAATTCGTCTAAAGTGCAGCAGGGAACGGATATTAGTCTAACAGATGAAGTCACAGAAAGCTTGAAATGTAGCAAGGCTGCTGGAATCGCTGAAATCCGCCCCGAAATGCTGAAAGCTTTAGAGAACCATGCATGTTGTGGCTTACACGTATCTTTCAAACGGCAGTGGCGACTGGATCGGATACCTACTCCTGTTCAAAAAGAGACCACAGGGAATGCTACAATTATCGGGGCATTACGTTACTGAGCCTCCCGAGGAAAGCATTCGCAAATGTCCCAGAATGAAGTGCGAAATATTTGGCTCTAAAACCAAAGAAATGCAGTTTGACTTCATGGCAGGTCGAAGAACCTCTTACCAGATATTAGCATAATGCCAGACTGCTGAGAAACAGTGCGAGTTCACTCATCCGATTTCAGGTGAAGAAAGTCTATGGCCGGGTTTCACGCATCATCAGTGGGCGTATACGCAAACATATGTGATCGATGGCCAGTCAGCATGTTGCTAGCAGGTGCTGTGTCAGAGTAAACGGTGTTACGTCGAAACCTTTCAGCTTTGGAACTGGTCTCCGCCAAGGCTGCGTTCTGACCCCTATCGTGTTTGTGTTGCACCTGGACAAGAGATAGTCAGACACAGTCAGGGCGAGGACTGTTTCAGTGTAGATGTCGAGACGAGAAGGTTACTGTTTGCAGACGACCTCGTTTTACTCATATTTTCTGAAACTGATCTCCAGCAATCTTCGGGAAGGTTCGCAGCCGAGTGCGACATGGCCGCCAAGCGTGTGAACGTATCTAAGTAGAATAGCCTAGTACCTTTTTGTCTCTTACCAGCTGCTCTCTTCAGATAAACGGTGAAGAAATTCACGTACCTCGGGGTCGTGTTTACTGGTGATGGAAAATGGGAACAGAAGATCGACTGGTGAATTGGAATGGCCAGCGGCGTCCTGTAATTATGAACTAGCTGGAACCGTTGTGACAGGTATGAGTTTGAAGACTAAGCATTCAATGTTCAAGTCGATCACCATTCGGATGCTGATCTACGGT